GAGTTAGCAACTGAACATGAAGGTTTAGAAGGTCACAGGTTTATATGGTGGTTCTGAGGACAGAAGTTTAAATGTCGGCTGTTTTTAGGACAAGGTCATGGTGTTCGGCCTCATTGTATCTCTGCTTGCTTGTTTAAGACGTGAGACAAAGGATATTTGTCCTCTTTCACTCAGGATTCATGTAAGAATTAAATGAGACCAACTATATAAAAGTGCTTTGTAGACTGCAAATTGCTATGCCAATTATTACATTGAGATGTAATAATTGAGATGTAAAAATCTGATCCTGATGAGTCACTCTTAAGGTTGCTGCAAGCACAGGTTAGTTGTTTGAATTTGAATGGATATGCATATATGTCAACAGTGCTGGAATCTGAGCTTCAGCCCTGACTGGTGCTATGTCATGGCAAATTTTTGTGGCAAACAACTGATAATAGATGACCCAATGTTTTATGAATAACTAGTTATTTCAGCAACTTCACTGATTTCTGCGGATGGATAGTTTGAGTTCCTCCTGATCATCAGTTATATCTTTGTAAAGTTCCAAAACTGGTTTTATTACAACAAATGACTCTTGTTGCAGCACAAAAGCATTAGAAGGGGGACATAAAAATGTAAATGAAAGATAGTATCTGTTTAATGCAGACATTATGGAATGATGGATTATTTTTATAAAACTAGACTGGAGGGTGTGTGTGTGTGTGTGTATACACACATACACATACATATATGTGTGCTTTTTTTTTTTTAATTCACATAAACTTTTGGATTGCAAAACTTGGTCTATACCTCCCTCCTGTTCCCATGGACTCTCCTATAATGCAGTTTGCACTACTGTAATTAACTTTATTTGGAATTCTTTTGATAATCAGGATCACATTTTTTAGGTCCCCAAATGGGCATAATTGTACATCTGTGTTCAAGCGTTATGTAAACTCCTGTGTCAGAGGCAAACTCTGGGTAAGGAAACCACACGCCCTTCCTGGAGAAAATGGAGAGACACTGCCACCTGCTGGAAAACGTTTAATTTAGCAACTTGCTTTCTGAAGTAGCGTGCAAGCTGCATTTGGAAAACTAGTAAGTTATTCCTGAGATCTGAATCTCAGAGTCTTACCTAAAACTCCTTTAGACCTCTGGACACCCATTCTATGACTACTAAATAAATTATGCATAGTAGTCTGTAAAACTCAACATTCAGCATGAGTTAATGGTAACAGGCACCAGCTACATTTGAAGTTCAAATCTCAACTCCCTGATACTTCTGCTAAGAATTCAGGCATAAAAACAGATAAAAATCTCAGTGACTTGATGATGTGTGGTTTTCAGTTCCTGACTGTGCCATTGTAATAATAGTTCCAGTAAACTTATCCCCTACGATCCTTCAGGAAGAGGGTCTTGGCCAGAATATCTTTGTTCTCTTTCCCCTAAAGGCACATGATTTCACAGTCACAGGTCAGGTGGACTAAATCAAGGTTCATCACACTCTTCTTTCCTTTGCTCTCTCTTTGCCCTAGAAATGACTAACAGAGCCTGAAGTCCTACTTTCTTACAGAAACAAGCCCTGTCTCTCTCCTATGATGCAGCTGGCAAGCAAATAGTTAATTATTGAACACATCATATATTAAAGTGTGGGCTAAGGGCTTCAATAAGGTATGTCTCACAGTAAACCCATGAAGTAGACAGAATTGTTCATGTCCTGCATCTCCACAAGAATGCATGTGGCTTAGAGAAGGATGGACATCATGGCCAGAGAGTTTGAGTTAGGATCTCCATCCTGATCACTGCAATCTAGTCAGTGAGAGGGAAGAATGGTTTCTGAACCAACTACCCTCCAGTGAGGAATTTGTCCTGTCCTATGTGTAGCAGGGGCTGCCATAACGGAAGGTGGAAATTATTACAGCAATGGGAACTGCTTAACAGCTTTTGTTTTGAGGAAGATAAAACACCCAATAATTGTGCTAACCAATCAAAGGTAGAATCAGGAGCCCTCAAACTTCTACTTGACACTTTAGTATCATCATAATAAAGACCTTAGAGATCAGTCTCCTCAAGAGCCATTGGTCCTGGCTCCTCTGAGCAGAAAGATGACTAGAAATCGCTTGTAACTCCCAATTCAATTTAAGAATAATTGTTCTTTGTAATAAGCAGGCCACACTTTAATCATTTAGTATTTGTTTTAAATCATTCTGACATTAAAACTTAAATTTTTCTTGTAGCACAAACTAAACTTTCTGCTCAACATATTTGCTATTATTTTTAATGTAAATGTTTTTATATTTGAAAATTGCAATGCAAGTAAATACAGAGTACACTAATATATTCCCAATGAAAGGTCTAATTATCATTTGTGCCTAGTAAATAAATATTTCAATTTGTACTCCATCATCATTGCTTAGAAAAATATTTAAGTAAAAATAGTTCTTTTTCAAAACAAGACAGCCAATTTATGAATGAACTTAAATCCTCACAGTTGGTATGTGAGTCATTTGTTTGGAATTAACTTTTCCTCTGTAATAGTTGGTGGCCAGATTCTCAAGGCAGGCCAAAAAAGTCTAGTAAATTCTCTATTGTGGCCCCGATGTTTACATTTGTTATGGAAACAAGTTGAAAATGAATACTAATGTAATGCTAGTAATGGAAAGTATTCAAACTACAGAGGAAAAGGATTGGACAAGAGCTTACAAGCGCCCAGGAAGGAGAAGACCCTGGGTTAATATTAGGTCACGTAGTTCCACGTACACGGATGCTAGGTGGCGCTAGTCAACTGGAACTGCTCAGTTTTTTGCCCAGCGTTTTTGAGGGATTTTCATTTAAGAACAGTTCCTATCCCAGATATTCTCTGTAGTTAATCAATTTCTTTATTTATTTTGGCTTTCAATGCCACAGTGATTTTAGCTCACAAGGAAATTCTGACTGTAAAATTTCTTGATAGCTAAGGAGGAAAGGTATTACTGACACATTAACTCTCAGGGCATAGAAAAGTGCTCTCAACCCCTTCCACAGGTCACTGGGTGACTATGGAACAGTCTCGCAACTTCTCTATGCTGGCTTCATTTTATCATTAAAAAAAAAAAAAGAATGAGCAACCTTTGCTTAAAGGTTCTGGAGATTATTCAGTACTTACTATCCTGTTGCCCCTCTCATATGTCTCTTCATTTACAGGTGGAAAGATTATGAGTGAAGGCAAAAGGGCTAACAGTAACTCAATTTTCAGAAATATGTTCTACTTTAATTATGTGCTTACAGATCATGGCACACAGGCTTCAGTTACTGAGAAGCCATGTATGAAACGGAAAAAACAGTTGGAAAGTCAAATGATTTACCCTGACCACAGCGATGTGGGTTAAATTTTTTGCTTGTGGTTTATTTGTATTTAAGGAGAACAAAGAAAAAAAATGTCATCAGGCCCCTGCCCTGATGGTGACCTTCGGTGTGTCAGGCTGTGGCATCCTGAGTGGTGTCGGTTCCTGACCCCAGATGGATGTGTGTGGCATGGCCTCACCACAATGCCTCCCAAATGCTGGACCAGAGCACGTTCATCGTATTTGACAACTATGTGTCTCCAGGACTCAGTTATCCTTATCTGTGTGTCAAGTACGCACATGCACACACAAGTACGTACACACAAATGCACACACACATACATACACACAATACAACAAGATAAAGCCAAAGGGAGCAATAACAATGAATAATATAAACTTTCCTCAATGGAATCTAATAGGGGGTAAAATCCCTCTTGCACAAAGACCCAAGTTAATTTTGTTTCAGAGAGTTAAAATCTGGTCACAGTAGGGCTCCTAAAATTCTTTCACTCCATTTCTGAATCAGAGAGCGCTGCAAACTAATGTTACCTTAATAAAAAAAATTCTTTAAATTACCTATTGCTGGAAGGACAAAGGAAGGCTTAGTCTCAAAACCCAAGTATTTAGTGTGTATTGTGCTTCTAGCTATTCAAACCACACTTCCTCTTGAAGAGTCAGATCTGCATGACCTTGAGGTTCTCGATCACATTCCTGCATGTGGAAATGTTGGAAATTATCTCTGAGTGAGCCAACTGGGAGACTAAGGTCTCCTCCACCAGCCACCTTGTTACAGCAATTTACTGGATGGGGGGCGGGGAGCAGGGAGGGTCGCCTGATGGAACAGGATGAGTTTACCTGGGCACTGGTACCTGCTCATGACGCAGGTGTGGTTCGAGGTCTCTGCTGGTTGTGGAATGTGAGATAGCAGACTGCATTTGCGGGGGGGCGAGGGGGGACTTTCAGCTGTTCCTATTCCTACAAGGCAGAATATCTCTCTTCTCAGGACAACAAAGCCTGACAATAAACAGATTAGTGAATAAGTATGCAAGGCTTGTGGTGGCAGGAGATTAGGGAGAACAGGGGAAAAACAAACAGTGTTGTTTGTCTTTCAGGATAAAATAATAATGAGAAAAGTAAATGATGGGTTTCTGAAAGTAATTATATTTACAGTGATACTATGGGCAAGCCCGGTAATTGCTTTGCAGCATTCTATTTCTTGCTTCTATTTGGAAACCACTCCATTTGCTAGAAGAAAATCATAATTGTATCTTCAATTGGCTTCTCTCCCTAGTCTATTGTCAGGATTTTGTATGCCAGAGTGCTTTTGTTCAATGGAAGTAGGGCCAGAGACGCATCCTCAATGACAGATCTCCTTCAAAGGTTCTGACATGCACATACCAAGCACTGGGTCACCCTAGCTACCTGCTCAGGACAAGGCCCATGGAAATGTGGCCATTTTTGCTTTCCAAAGGGAGAAAAGGAACCACCAAGCTGTAAAACATGGCGAGTCCATGGTTAGACCTGAAACTCAAGGTCTGGCTTCTGCATCTCATGGCTCTACCCTTCCTTTGCTAGCCAGGAATGCCCCATGATTAAGAGAGGAAGTGATTCCACACCTTTATTTCCAGATCCCTTTTTAAGGTAAGTCACCCACAAAAGAGACCTCTAGAGGGGATGAGTTGCTTACAAAGTTACCTGGGTCTTTGTATATGCTGAGCACACCCTTGAAGTAATGAGGTAAAAATCTTTCCAGTAAAAGCAGCACATCTTCCAGCTCTTCAAGAATCCCCACAAGCAGGAAGTTTTCATTCACGTTCAGTTTTGCCCTCTCAAGCGCCCATTCAGCAGGCTCCCTTTATGGATAGAAAAATGATTTTTAAGTCAAAGACTCATTTTGAAATGTAGCATGACATGCTGAAAGTCTCTTCTATCCACCTCCCTTACCCCCTTATTTGCATAAATCTAAATCCTCCTTCCCTTGAGGGGCAGCCCTAAGGTCCCTGGTCCAGCAGGCTGGCCCCTGACAGAGCACCCGCTGACCTAACCTCTCTCCTCCTCATCTGTGTGTGGTGCTAGCCTTTGTGACCTTCGTGAGCCCTGCCTGAGCATTTGTTGAGAGAATAATACAGGTACAGATAGCAAGGGCCTCATAAACACGGTTCAAGGAGATTTGATGGCTTTTGAATAGGAGGAACCAATAAAGTTAGACATTTTGAGATGTGAACACTTCCTGACATAGCATTTCTGTAGAAATAGGTGTCATGTCTGCTCATCACTGCACACTTTTGCAGAGTACAAAGACAATTTTTTTTTTTTAAATTACAGAAGGAAAACAGCCTAATCTCATTGACGGTGGATCTTTGAGTCAATAACATCTGTATTAGTGGGAAAAGCCCCAAATGGGAAAAGCCTTCAATAGGAGCTGGGCTCTGGGCTGGGGGTGGCATTTAGCATTTGGGGGAGTTAGGAAAGTTAGGATTCTCTTTTGAGAATAAATAATAAACCTTCTACATCTCAAATACTTGTTGCCAAAGTGAGGTACAATCTCATTTCTTGCAATAAATATCTTTAATGAGAAAGACAGTGAGTCATCTGGGGCCCAATATTTTCAGTATGTGAAGCACTGACCTTGAATCAGGAGGCATTTATTATGGGGGTGACAGTGGACAGTGGACAGGGTAGGGGTGGGGTCCTGAACTCTGGATAGTTTATGATGAAGCTGAAAACAGAAAATTTTAGTCCCAGAGTTCTGAACGTAAGCAAACTAGCATGATGGTAAAGTCCACAAAACAGCAGTGACAATGCCCACAATCACTAAGTAACAATCCTAGTGTAGTCAAAAAGTACAATGAATGAGCTGCATTTAGAAACAGCTGTCTCTGCTTGTTTTTGACCCTGTCTGTTTCCTTTGGAGAAAACTGTCACTTTTGGTAAGAGGGTTTATTTCCCACCAAGCAAAGACAATATTCATTGTTGCTGCTATTCCTTCTTGAGACTCTTTATTTGTCCAGTACAGTTAATTTAATGGTAGCTAGACCTGAGTCAGCTGAGTGGTGGGTACACAAGCCTGAATGCTATGTATGACATAGAAAAAAGGGCTGGTGGGCATTGAAATTACACAGATTTAGGGGGGTGGTCCCAAGAGCTCTGCCAGACTTTGATTTGTTAATTATATTATTTATAGGCCATGTGCAATCTTTAAAGAGTATCAGTTAGTAATAGCTAAATTCTAGAAGGGTGACAGACTTGTGAACCAGAAGACTCCCAAGCCATGCCAGTTGTGTTTTCTGCCATTGTTCTACTCCCATATTAAATGCCATGAGCATTTAGTTTTTACCTGCATCTGGGATGCTGTCCACAAAAATATGGAATGATGTAAAATAATCTGGGGTTGGAGCACTCGGGATAGTTTTCAAGAATACACTCATTGATATCCTAGGAGAGAAAACACAGGAGTAAAATGTTTTGTAGTTTCTGCAGTGGTTTCTCAAATGATATGCAGTATAACTAAAATTGATCCTTAATTATGTGGCTAGGCCTTGAAGAGATGTAGAGAATTCATAGATGTCATGAGAAAACTTTCTTTTGACCTCACACCATTCTTCTCAATCACCAGGGGTACACATGGTCTTAACAGAAGTTCTGCTCACTGTGATTTACTGTTACCCCAGCAATTACCAGTCAAATGAGAGGTATATCAGTTGGCACTTAACAAATATTTTAAAAATAAATTTAGTATGAAGTAATTCTTAATTCAGTCCAATTGAAGCAGAGATTCCTGTATGGTCAACCTTACAGAAATGTGTTTCTGACTCTGTTCAAAAGTCATTATTAGGTACCCACAATAGTTACAGAGAGGGTCTACAGATTTTGGAAGGACTGTAAAGTCCCTTTTATGATATTAATGTAGACAGTTACAAGATGTTTGTATATAGACTATTGTCTCATTTTCAAAGGCAACAGATATTTGTATATAGACTATTGTCTCACTTTCAAAGGCAACAGAGTTTCTCTCTCTCTTTTTAAAATTTTTGTTGTAGAAGTAACATTGCATTATAACACTATGTAAGTGTCAGGGTGCATCATAACAAATCAGTATCAGTATATACATCATTAATTTCTCCATCAAGATCGATTCTCTTCTGTGAGGTTGGCTATGATCTCTCTGTTAGCATTACAGAGACTTACAGTGGTTTCATGAACATGAACAGAGGGCAAAAATACCAACTCAAATCAAGGAAAATTGTCTTGTATACCCAGAAAAGATGTCCAGGTTTGTAGGTATTTTTCTAAAGAGAAAATAATCCAACTCAAAAACAAAGTAAGTAGCTATGAGATGTTTTTTTCAGAGATAATAGAGGACAGGTAGGTTAAAAGTGACTATAACTTAATGAGTAGACCAAGATGTGGTACATATACACTGTGGATTACTACTCAGCAATCAAAAATGATGAACTCTTGCCATTTGCAGCAACATATATGGAGTTGGAAGGAACAATGTTAAGCAAAGTAAGTCAGAAGGAGAAAGACAAATACTAGATCGTGTCACTTATATGTGGGATATAGAGAAACCCAAAAAAGGGTCAGACAAAGCCAAACTCAAAAACTATCCCTTAAAATCTTGACTATAGACTGAGACATTCAAAAGGGGAGGGTAAGGGAAGGGACCAGCACACAGTGGAGAGGCAGCACAATGGACTACAGTAGCGGACCATGGGCGCTTTGACAGTTGGATTGCTACGGTAACATCACCAGAAGGGGGGGGGGCATCCTATATTTTTAAATTACAAACAACAATGTAAACCAACGTTATCTCAATAAAAACAAAGTGACTATAACTTGTAACATGGCCATGTGGTTGCTGGAATTTATAAATCAGTTGATGCCCCTGTATCTGATGTGATTGGTTAAGCGGTTAATTACTTACAAAAATTTTTAGTTCAAACTAGAAATGATAAATACACAAACTTTTAAAAAATAATCCTTTCTTTTCCTCCTCATACTTCTTTGGTTTATATACCGATTAGATTAAATCACAGAATTACAATAACAAAGTCAACTAGAATAAACAGATCACAGCAACAAACACACTCTAGCTAAGCCCTTGCGTATACTGTGGGAAGCAGAGTCACACAGTTCCCCAGGGGAACATACCAGAAGTGAATGGAGTGGAGTACATCAGTCCCTCTAAACATGCATCAAGGGCAGGGTAGTTAAGAGCACTTCATGGAACAGAAAGCCCGTTAAAATGCATGATGTTAGCCCCAAAATATTGTTCTAAGATAACTGGACACAGAGAGGCGTATGTATAAAGATGCCATCGCTACAAGATTGATTGTAACATAATATAACAAACTTAAATGTTAACGATGGTGGACTAATTCACATAAATTGGGGTACGTTCCTGCCTGGGAAGCTTTACAGGTACTGTCCTGAAAAGTGTCTGAGAAATTTTCAAATGAATAAAGTCTAGGATAATATGACGAATAGGACAATATATAGTCATATGTTTACATAAACAAATATATCTGCAATGTAAACACCAAACTGTTAAAAGCACTTATGATGGCAGAAGGGAATGCACTGAACTGCCATTACATTCATTTTTGAAGTGTGACATTTGTTATAATATATATAGCTTACTCTCATCATCAGAAAACTGTAAGGAGATTTACATGTTATAAAACAGAACAGAGCTTTTGTGGGGGGGCTGGTGGGTCCCTTTCTCTCTCACACTGGGCTGTCTTCTGGGGGAGGGGGCCAGGAGCTGGGGGAACAGCAGAGCACAGGGACCCCGGCCTGGGCAGCTGAGGTCAGGGGCAGAGGGTACTGAAGTTGAAGTTTCACTCCAAAAGACAGAGCCAACTAAAGAGAGTTCAGGGAATATCCAGAGATCTGTCCCTTCCACTCAGTCCTCCAGAGATTATACTAACAGGAGGGGCAACAGAGCCCACTTATGCCTCCCGCCAGAGACTCTATGGCAACTCAGTTGCCTTTTATTAAGAACATGGATAATTACTTGTTAAGGTTTTAAGTCCATTAGAGCAAAAACTGTTTACTGTGTTGCCAGTGGCTAGCACCCTGCCTGGAAAAAGCAGGGAGCATACATATTTAATGCAAGAATGAAAACATGGCAGAAGGAAAAGATCAAGATACACTGGCATGATTCTATCCCCAGGATCCCGATCTGGAACTCAGAGAACATCAGCAGGTACAGTGGGGACTGGGGAGGAAGGAGGAGGTACAGACACCTGCCAAGGTCATTTCCTTATTGGAGCCCAGAAATCACCTCACAAGTTCAATTTACAGGAAGATATAAATCCCTAGTTTGAGAAGTGTCGTGAACAATTCTTTTCTTAGACATCCCCAAGGGAGTTTAAAGAGGTCCGTTTGAGCCCATTAGGTTAATGAATGGTACTGGTTACAACGCGTCCCAAGGAGATGCTGCCGGAGGATTTTAAAAAAAGCTGACTCAGGGTAAGATCAAGCAGAAGCAAAGAAGGAGCTGTGAAGACCCACACATCCCGCTGCATCAGCTTTGCCACAGTGGACAGTGCTAGTGTTCCCAGCAGCTCAAGGTCAAGGACCCTTCAGAAACTGCTCTGGCCACTGATGCAGTCTGTCCTTACTGGACACAAGACCTTCAGCCAGTGACCTTGCAGCATCCTGGCAAACTGAATGGGACAGACAGACACTACTGCTCTTAGTGTCCATGCTGATGGGTGTCCAGAAACCCCCAGGGACCATTCAGTTTCCCTTGTGTTCATGATTTTAATCTTTGTGCTGTTTTATAGTTACCTTTTATGCTAAAGATCTGTTAGTAGACTTGTATTTTTCAATGACTATGTATTTTACTTCCCATTTAGTACTTCCAAGATGAGATTGCTTTAAATCAAATCTTTACTACTTTAAGCTTTTCTCTAAAGTTGTCATCATGTGATGACTTAGCCAAATCCACTTACTTGATAGCCCTCAATCTAGAATTTGTTCCTTTGATTCCTGGATCTTGGCAGATACCACAGGACCCAGCAACCCTCTCTCCTGCCCAAATCCAGTCCTCTTTTGAGGTTGGGTCTAAACAGAAGACCCCACTCTGCTGCTATTGTCACATCTCTAGGGAAACAAGACCTTCTCCAGAAGCAAGCATTCCAAATAAGTATGGAATTCCCTTTCATTGCAAAACTACCAAACAATTAGACCACTTGTAGAAATTTACTCCAAAATTCATAGCTTTATTATAATATAAAATATATAATTGCAAAAGTATTATAGTATATGTAAAATAATATGTAACCTAAGTAAAATTATATTTAATACTCTATTAAATAAAATTCTTTTTTTAACAGTCTTTGCTTATATCCTCTAGGTTTTCTTTGTGGGACCATTCTTCCAATTTGACCTTATTGCCAAATCATCTTTTATTGATTTGCTCCTGTAACATTTTCCAAGAATGAGTGGTGAGAAATAATACCTTCAAAGCACTGAGGGGCCCACTGGCCTTAAGGGAGCCATTCCTGCCTGATACCTCTCTCACCATCACTCTCCACCTTTACCCAATTGTCTGGCCCTGCAACTTGACCCCCAAATCACTTGCTAATCCAAATTCTCCTACCCATTCCACACCACAATCCCTTTTCTGACCCTCGCCATCTAGTGCTTCTTCCTTCTATCTCTTCTCCCTAAAAACCTTCCCTTATAGTTCCCTTTACCCCCCCTCCCCCACCAAATTGGCTGAAATACAAACCCATGCAGCTCACCCACCCTGTCTAAAATTTTTGAAGGGTTGTTACCGACAACATGGTAGAAATAACAAGATATTTAAAAATGCTAATTCCTTGGACCTACTCCTAGAGGTTTGTCTGGGCCGAGGCTAGGAATCTGCATTTTATGGTAAACTAGAGATTTTGAGATGGCCATTTTCAGGAGTGGGTTATTGGGAAATGTCATACCTCTGCTCACCTGTCTTCCTTCCCTGAATTTCCATTATAACTACAACTCCATTTTTTAAAAAAGTTATAGTTAAATAATAAACTATATGGGGCCTCCCCGGTGGCACAGATGTAGAGCGCTGGGTTGCAAAGCTGCCCGCAGCCTCTGCAGCGCCGGTTCGATCCCCGGCTGCTCCCCGGCCACCGAAGGAGGATCCCACATGGCGTGCAGACCTCTCCTGCCACCCACTGCTCCCCTCAGCAGTGTACTTCGGTCCTTCTGCCTGCTCTGCTCCCCGCTCTGGCTCTGGTGAATTCTCTCACCCTCCTGTGCTTCTGACGGTACCCAGTGCTTGTATAAATCAATCAATCAATCAATCAATAAATCTTAAAATAATAATAATAATAATCTATATGAATATAAAACAAAAATTCTAACAATGGCTGGGTTTGAGATAGAGCTATGGATTTCCCCCCCTTTTCCTTTTCTAGTGTCAAACTAATTTA